TACAATTCTATGTCGATTTAGCTTCCGAACTAAATGAAGTAGGTTGATAAAATTTTACTCAAATGTATATTATGTCTGCAGGACTTTTGGTATTGGTATACGTTTTGGTATAGCCCTACCTATTTTCTGTATTTTGGTGATTTTAGCGACATTATTCACCGAAATTGTTTCAAATTTGGTAGTTGAAGTTCGCAATGGATACTACAGCCTATGAAAATAAATTGTCTGTGCAGATCCACGTCTTCGTATAACCCCCAAATAACTCTACCTTCCGATTTTCGGTATTTTGATGATTTTAGCGACATTATTCACCGGAATTATTTTAAATTTGGTATTTGAAGTTCGTAAAGGATATTACAACCTAAGACAGAAAATTGTTGGTGCAGGCCCACGTCTTCGTATAGCCCCCATATAACGGTACCACCCGATATTCGGTATTTTAATGATTTTAGCGACACTATTCACCGGAATGGTTTCAAATTCGGTATTTGAAGTTCGTAATGGATACTGCAGCCTAAGACAGAAAATTGTCGATGCAGATGCACGCCTTCGTATATTTTTTGATGATATATTCGGAATGTTTAAAGTTTTTAACGGATTTTATTATTTCTTTTTTAAATTGCCAAATTCGTTCCAAATGGTGGAGGGTATTCAAAGTTCGGCGCGGCCGAATTTACAGTTTTTCTACTTGTTCTGCATTTTTTTTTCGTTGCCGGGTCTCATTCGCATTGTGTGAGTCTTGGAGTTGGTCTGTGATGCTGTAGTTGTTGTTGGTTTTTTTGTGATGTGTAATTCTACTGTGATTCGCTGCCGTTGTTTTGTTCTCAGGCATGTTGGCTTTTTGTTGGCTTTGTTGTCGTTTTCGGTCGACAACTATTAAACAACAATGATATTGTTGTTGCGGCAATTCTCCTTGTTGCAGATGACGCTAGTGGATGGCTGCAGCATCACCACCACCACCAACAACATCAGCATCTGGCAGTTTAGCTGCACCGACTGACACTATTACCAAACAAACAATTCCATTGTGACCACAATGAGGCAAATCGCCAACCAGCCAGCCAACTACACGCATTATTTTCTTAACTGCTGCACATGTTTCGGTTCTGCAGATATTTAAGTTCCATTCTGGCGTTTTTAATTTCTGTTTTATTTTGTCTTTTTCGTTAATGTTTCGTTTTGTTTTCACTCACCCAAAGCTGTGTGGCATTTTTTTGTGTGTTGGAAGAAATAAAGAAAAAAATCCGATGGAGTATCATCACCCAAACGACATGCCATAGAAATGATGAAGGACAGGGGTTCAATTAATTGAAATTCAACATGAGTTGATGCTTGGGCCTCAAGATCGACCAAAAACTTGTGCTAAAGTATTAAATCGAAAGGTTGAGGGACTTAAACACCAAATCGGACGATTTGCATATATATAGGAGCTATTCCTATATCTGAACCGATTTTCAGCAATTTCAATATATATGCTTCTAGACTGAATTCTGTAGGATGTACCAAAATTTAGGACTCTTTGGCTGATATTGGCCATTTGGTGCACAATTAACCTGAAATCTGTTGAAGATATATATGGGAGTTATATTCAAATCTGAACCGATCTTGATGAAATTTGGCAGTTGTATTTCTGGGCCTATCTGCATATTACGAATGTGGGGGACTTAAACACCAAATTTGATTAAATATATTTATGGGAGCTATAGCTATATTTCAACCGATTGTCACTTAATTTAATGTACTTGCGGTTCGATGTGCCAAAATTCAGGTCATTTGGACTAATATTGGCTATTTGGTGCACAATTAACCCGAAATCGGTTGAGGATATATATGGGAGCTATATCCAAATTTACAAAATATGATACACTTATTTCAGAGCTGTATAAAGTTAATTTTCGTGGAATGCATATTACGCTTGTGAGGGACTTTAAACCCCAAATTACATAAAACACATATATGGGAGCTATATCTGCAGGGTGAGATAAAAAAAAAACTGCAACAAAGTCCAACGCCATAATTTTTACATTTTTTTAAAATTTCATTGAATGAAAGCAAAAATATCGGAAATAGCATCAAATTTTAGAATAAGTTTAGATTAGTTCGAATTGGTCACTTTTGGCACGAATTATGGCCTTTAAACGGCCAATGAAACAGTCACCCGCTGCCCGAATGTTGCTCTGCGGTATTTTGCCCATTTCCTGAAGCACCTGCTTGAGGTGATCGACACTATGGTATTTTTTAGTGTCATCCTTGCATTCCAAAATACTCCAGACACAATAGTCCAACGGATTGGTATCTGGAGATTTTGGTGGCCATTGTGCGATAGAAATGAAGCGAGAAACCTCATTTTGTAACCATTCTTGGGTGGCGCATGCTAAGTGCGATGGTGCTGAGTCCCGTTGGAATGTCCGAGGTCTGCGGCCAAGATATTTGCGTGCCCAAAGCTTTAATACACCCTCCACAATGCTTTCGCGAAAATATTCGGCATTAATTCTGACCACGGTCGATTAATACGAGCGGAGAGTGACCATCGGCTGTTATGGCGGCCCACACCATCACCATGGCCGTGGCCATGGCGCGTGAGTTCTGGTGGCCGGCCACCCAAAAGTGCACATTTTCAGCTGACCTCTTTGGCGGAGAAAACCAAATTAGGCAGTTCACCACTTTCGGCCAAGCGAAGCAACTTGGTATTTTAATAATTTTGGCGACATTATTCACCGGAATTGTTTCAAATTTGGTATTTGAAGTTCGTAATGGTTACTGAAGCCAATGACAGAAAATTGTTTGTGCAGGTCCACGTCTTCGTATAGCCCCCATAACGTTACCCCTCAAAAATCGGTATTTTGAAGATTTTAGCGACACTATTCACCAGAATTGTTTCAAAATTTGGTATTTGAAGTTCGTAATGGTTACTAAATCCTATGACAGAAAATTGTCTGTGCAGGTCCACGTCTTTGTATAGCCCCCATATAAAGGCACTTCCCAAATATTCGGTACTTAAATGTTTTTAGCTACATTTAGCTCTTTAGAGTCTATTTTCTTTCTGTTGCGGTGTAAGTTCTTGCACTTTTCGGAATTTCAATGGCTTTACCCTGAGCTCATTTTTCAATATATGCCGAATCGAATATTGCGATATGTTCTCACGAGCTCACGAGCCATTTTTCGGCCACTGCGACGCGGGTTTCGATCAAATCGCTTCTTTACTTTTCGAACCATTTCTGCTGATGTTGCTGTTTTCTTCCGTCCACTTCCTTGACGTCGGGCTACGCTACCAGTATTACGGTAACGAGCGATGGTACGAAACACAACAGTTCTATTCGCATTTAAATGCTGGAGTGCTCTAACGATAGCCACTGGTGGTTTTCCAGCCAAATATAGAGAAATCACACTATCACGCTTGAATTTCATCACGAATAACTTTTTTTCTGGAAAATTCTCACCAAAATGCTTTCGTACGCTTGTAAAAAATATAATGAGCTGTCACTGGAATAATTTTAACAGCTGTCGGACGAGTGGATTAGAAATGATAGCAGTCTGAAGTTGGTTGCATTTTTTTTTATTTCAGCCTATATTAGCACATACGAAGTCTAGGCGAAATCGAATACTCTCTTCGAGAGTTATCGTGCTCACCAGCCAGACAGACAGATGTCCTGAGATTGATTTCGTAAAAAGAGACCTTGCTGCATCGAGTGATGTATTCCCTTTTGTTTCGAAATGTCATTTCTATCAAAAATCCACGGTTCAGAAGCTCTGCAGAAAAATGTAAGGCTAGATGTCTTTCGATTAAATAAAAAAATCTGAAAATACTAAATTAATATATTTTTTACAAAATTGGCGCGCGAAATTAAAGTTCTCTAATTTTCTTAACTTCCGAAAATATTCTAAATAAAATTACAAGATTTTATTCCAAACGTTTCAAAGAATGTTATCAAATTCCAAGATTGGGGACCCGATCTCCTGTGGATTTCTTTTAAAAATTAACAAATCGATATTTATATGAATCCTCGATGAAAGGTCCTCAACATTCTTTCGAGATATAATTTTTAGACTTCGCAAGCTCTGAATAGTCTAATTCTATAAATAAATTTCAATAAATAATTTTAAGAAACTGAATTTAAAATTCTAAAAAATCTTCAAAAATATCATAAAGACTTGCAACTAAAGCACTGAAAATCCTGCATATACTTCGAAGAAAAAAAATTAAATTAACTGCTGGATCGCTGAAAATATTCGAAAATATTTAGTTAGCATACTCTACGCATTGGCCAATAATCTTTATGAGAGCAGTTAAAGCTCTCAAAATCCTGACAAAAAAATATTTGAAATAAAATATTGATGATGGAATTTTTGAAAATATCCCAAAAGATTATTTTAAGAAACCACAAAAAAACCTCTGAATATTCTCCACAGTATATTAGGAATTCACCTGTTTCAAACCACCCAAAGATCCTCTGAATACCATTGAAAAAGTAATTGAATGGATCCAATTCTGGAGCACCTGAAAATTTAAGAAACCACGAAAAGAGCTTTTATAATTATCCACAAGAAAATAGGTATCCAATTATTAGAGACTGCCCAAAAAGACGACTTCTAAAGCTCTGAAACTATTCTAAAAAGCTTTCAAAGTTATTTTAGAAATATCAACAAATCTATGAACCTCTGAAAAAATATTTTTAAAACCTCACGACTAATACTTTAAATAATTGTAGAAATTCCTGATGTATCTCAAGAAAATTAATACTTTCCTAAGTAGAAAATCCTAAAAATATCTTTACAAAACCACTGTGCATTTTTTGTCGTTTACGGCATTTTGTTGTTTTTGTCGCGTTTTATTCAACAATTTTAATGTTTTTCGGCTTGATTGTTTGTTTTTTTTTTTTTTTTTTTTTGTTGGCCTCTGTTGCTGTGATGCTGCCTTGCCGTTGATGTTGAAGTTGTTAGTTAAATGTTGCAATGTAAATTCGTAAAACAATAAAGAAATAAATTACTTTCAATTCCAGATTTTGAAACGACGAAAAAAGAACAACAACGTCTATGGAATGAAACGATACCCCAACAATAATGGTTCAGCTTCAGGTTTATCATTCTCAACGTCAATGGGGTGGCACAAAATCAAATATTAAAATTCGAGCGATGGATGCGATGTCCTGCAACAGGTAAATAAGTTTTAATTTTTCGAAATATTATTTTTATTTTTTTATTTATTTATTTACTTATTTTTTTGTAAATTTTTTCTCAAATTTGTTATAACTATTTTTTTAATGACTGAAATTATGATTTTAAACATATTTTTTAAAGACTATATGCGTGTTTTTTATAAAAAATTGATAAATTTTTCCAAAAACCACATGCTTGATTTTATATAAAAATTTTTTTACCAAGACTGAGCTTGCATTTTTTAAATTTTTTAATAATAGAACAGAATTAAATAAAACTAAAAATCTTTTGGAAAGTCTTCAAAATCTTACAACCGCACTTTTAAACATTTTTAAAGTTTTATTTAATTCTTTGGTTCCTCTTCTATTGGGGTTACGATCTCGTCACTTGGGTACAAAAATGTTTTTTGTCATAGAAGTTATTTTTAAAATAACTTCTGATGGGAATATCCCAGACAGAAAACAAGGGAACTGATGAGGATTGGTGGCTCTTTCCGAAACCTGGGTACTCAATGCCTTACCCCCTGGTAAACATTACCATCGTTCTCCACTAATAAACAAACATTGTTTTTATAAAAACAACCATAAAGGGGATTAAGCCTGACCATTTTGCAACAACAAAATTTTTCAATAATTTTAGGTGTGGATTTTGGGAACAATTCTATTTTAGTAAAAACTATCGAATTCACTAGAAGAAGGTTTGTACCTTGATTCCGGGAAAGTATTTTTTTCTTGGGGACGAACCTGGATATTTGACCCAAAATTCCGGTTTGAATCTGGATCTACTGAGATGATATTGGCAACATTGGTAACTTTTGAAAGCCAATGAAAATACCCATCCAACAAGAATTTTCAGAGCCGATTTTTTTATAATAACCCCAAAAGGTCGAAAAATTTCCCATTATAGGATTGAGAAGATAGGGGTTATTCAACGTTTGTTCTATTCAGCACAGTCTGTATAGTTTATCTTAATTTAATGCTGTTTTAGGTAGCGGGCCTTCGGCCGAGGTTTGAAATTTTCTCCTCTGGGTATGTCCAACGCCAGCCATCCGAATTCAAGCTTTTCCAAATTGATACTCCGGGCCTTGAGATTTTCTTCTTTAACTATGTCCAACACGGCTATGCGAACAAAAATTGTCTATATTTGATACGTTTTTATACCCTCCAACATACATAGTATGGAGGATATATTAAGTTTGTCATTCCGTTTATAACTCATCGAAATAATTATTTTAGACATAACAAAGTATACCCATTATTAATCAGCGTAAAATTCTAAGACGATTTAGCCCTTCCGTCCGTCCGTCTGTCTGTTGTAGTCACGCTATATTAAAAACGAAATAAGATAGAACACTAAAATTTTGCACACATCAGTCTTTTGTCTGCAGGCAGGTCAAAGATAAGCTATATCGGTCACCGATATCATATAGCCTCCATATAACGGTACTCTCCGATATTCGGTATCTTGATGATTTAAGCCACATTTCTCCATTGCATTATCTGAAATTCTACACAAAGAGTTCTTTGTGAGTACTTTATCCCCTGGAAAAGAATTTTTTATATACGTCCAAGACATCGTATATCAACCGATATTTGGTATTTCGATGATTTTAGTGACATTATTCACCGGAATTGTTTAAAATTTAGTATTTGAAGGTCGACCGTTATGTTTTCATTTAAGTGGTATTTTTCCAAGGATTTTTTTTTTCAAAATTTTCAAGATCCTTTAAAATGGTGGTGGTTATTAAAAGTTCGGCCCAGCCGAACTTAGCTTCTTTTTTACTTGTTTTTATGTACTGCAAAATTTTCTACTCTGGGTAAGTCCAACTGCGGCTATGCGAACTAAAGTTTTGCAAAAGTTGATACTTCCTTAGCAGCCGGACTTTGAAAATTTCTCCTCTGAGTATTTTCAACAACGGCTATGGTAACCAAAAATTTTCTAAATTTTATACTCATTTTAAGGTTTGAGGTTTTCTCCTCTGGATATGTTAAAATCAGGCTGCGCAAAGTAAAATTTCTTATACTTAAAGCATCATTACAATGTACTGGACATAATCGGCTCGTCCGAGTTGAAAGACTCATATCTCTGGATTCAAGAAATGTAATAACACACATTGCAGCATCTTGAAAAGGCTATTGTGTCAACTATAATTCTGCATGTATTTTGTGGACTTCCTAAATGGGGCCATTTTCAACTTTTTGGGGTTTTTTTTTAAAAAATCCGGGTCCAAATAATCAATAATTTTGATACAACTCCCGAACTCCCGTTTTAAATAGCCCCATCATATGACCACTTGCTGGATAGGTCTAACCCGGTTCTTTGAACCGGACTTTCCGAATACTTTCCGGAAAAAATACTTCCCTGGAATCAGATTATGAGTACCTACCTACCTAACAACAATATTTGGGGAAATATATCAAATACAGCTCAGAAATACATTTGCTAAATTTTATCGAGATCGGTTCAGATTTGGATATAGCTCCCATATATAACTTCGTCCGATTTACGTTTTATTGTGCACCAAACGTCTAATATTTGTCCAAATGGGATGGAATTTGGCACTTACGACCGAATTGAGTCTAGAAGCTAGTATGTCAAATTTGGTGATGATCGGTTCAGATATAGCTATAGCTCCCATATTTACTGTTCATCCGATTTGTTATATTTGTTACCTACAGCCGTAATATGCACTCCGTAACAACGACATTCAGAGAAAGATATCAAATACAACTCAGAAATATCTTTGCCAAATTTTATCGAGATCGGTTCCGATTTGGATATAGCTCCCATATATATTTTTATGCGATTTCAAATTAATTGTGCACCAAATGGGCAGTACAAGTCCGAATTTAAAAGATACAAATGCTTCGGCATATTTAGTCCTTTGAATTATAATCATAGCGTGTATGATTGAATTCTCCCATAAAAACTTTTAATTGTTATGCGGAGCTCTACTAAATTAGCAAAGTGGTGTAGGGTATCATAAAGTCGGGCCCGCCCGACTTTGAGACTTTCTTTACTGGTTTATAAATATTTTTACCACACACCAAACATGGATTTTAAATAAGTATTTTTTTTTTTTAATTTTTTTCTTCAAAGACTATAAGCGTTTTTTTATAAATAATATATAAATATAAATATATTTTCTAAAGACTCTCAGTGTGGATTTTTTAAAAAAAAATTTTTTTCCAAGAGTATTAACGTGTATTTTTCATAAAAAACATAAATGTGGATTTTTTAGATTTTTTTTTTAATTTTCACATCTTTAATCTTGGATTTGTATAAATATTTGTCAAAGGCAATTTTCGTGAATTTCTAATAAATTTTTTTTTAGGAGTATAAGCGTGGATTTTTGTAAAGTTTCTTCCAAAGACTATAATTCCGTTTCGTTATAGGATTTATTCCAATAAAAATGCAGCAACAACAAAAAAGTAACATGAACACGACAAAAAGCGCTGAAATCGTGGTTATGTTTAACGCTGCCACACACACACCTACACCCGCACACTCCTCAAGTGATACACTTGCTTGATAAACGTTTTTGAATTGCTCAAGTATTTCTGTTTGTTTCATTTTTTTAAGTTCTTAGCTCGCCATGTAAGTTTTGTCTGCCAAAGGGGAAAATGGCGTTTAGGAGGAAGTTGTTGTTGTTTTTTTTCTTTTTGGGAAATTCCTTGGATTTTTCTCTTTTGTTTTGGTGCATTGTTTTTGGGACCTGGACGCTGTGTGTGAATTCTTCCTTTTTTCTTTTTTTGTTGTTACTGTTTTCATTGTTGCCTGACATGAACTTTGTGCGCTTAAAATTGCAATTTTTAATGCAATTCGTGAGCGTGCCAAACAATCCATCCATCCAAAAGACCACATGACAATAGCAGGACTGTTGCGAAGGGTGGTAAGGGTATGGGGGCCTTTTAGAAATATTTTTGGAGAGACTTATTTTCAAAAACTATCAACATGAAATTTAAGGACCTGGTTGTCCTTACAATTTTTTAAGGAATATCAACATGGATTTTTTGAAAAATTTTTTTTAAGGAACAACTGAGGAATATTTTTTCAAGAATCTACAGACGAATAAACGTGGGATTTTTCAAAATATTTTTCCAAGACTAACAGAACGAGGATTTATAAAAATATTTTTCGAGGACCATCGAATCTAGGATCACTAGAAGCTAAAAAACGTGGATTTTTAAATATATTTTTCCAAGGATCACGAGAAGCTAAAACAAGTGGATTTTTAAAAATATTTTTTCAAGGATCACCAGAAGCTAAAAAACGTGGATTTTTAAATTTTTTTTTCAAAGATTATCGAAGCTAATTAACCTGTATTTTTGAATATATTTTTCCAAGGATCACCGAAGCTAAAAACCAGAAGCTAAAAAGCTTGGATTTTTAAAAATATTTTCTCAAGGATCACCAGAAGTTACAAAACGTGGATTTTTAAAAAATATTTTTTCAAAGATCACCAGAAGTTACAAAACGTGGATTTTTAAAAAATATTTTTTCAAGGATCACCAGAAGTTACAAAACATGGATTTTTAAAAATATTTTGTCAAAGATCACCAGAAGTTACAAAACGTGGATTTTTTAAATATTTGTTCAAGGATCAACAGAAGTTACAAAACGTGGATTTTTTTAAATTTTTTTCAAAGATCAACAGAAGTTACAAAACGTGGATTTTTTAAAATTTTTTCGAAGAATATCGTAGCTACAAAAGTTGGAATTTTAAAAATATTTTTTCGAAGACTGTCGAAGCTACAGAACGTTGATTTTTAAAAATATTTTTTCAAGGATCAACAGACTTGGATTTTAAAAAAATATTTTTTTCAAAGATCAACAAACGTGGATTTAAAAAAAAAAAAAACATTTTTTCAAGGATCAACAAACGTGGATTTTAAAAAACACTTTTCAAGGATCAACAAACGTGGATTTTAAAAAACATTTTTTCAAGGATCAACAAACATGGATTATCATTTTTTCAAAAGATCAACAAAGG